ATATAAAATATGTGGTGGGTCTCTCTTGTTTAAACTATTATTTCAAAAAACCATGCGGTGGATCTCTCCTCCTCCGAAGCACATGAGTGCAAATATTTGGGGACAAGGCACAATGAGGTTAATGCACTCAAAGTATCTAATTGGTATTGAGCTTAAAGTATCTAATTGGTATTGAGCTTCTGATGGATGGTAGTGTATTAAAATACCTTTATCTTTGTAGGTACCAGAGTTCTTTAAAATTTGTTGGCAATATGAAATTTTCTAGAGAGGGGGCTTTTTTGAGGTGATTGAAAAAAGACTTACAAGTATAAAAACCTAAGAATTTCCAAGTTCTGTTGTCTGATTGGGATGATAATTGAATTGGTTCAAATAGGACTGATACAGATGCCTATTCAATTATAGTAGAATTGACTCTAAACTAGAAGCCAAACTATAGCGCTAAGCTCGCCAAAAATAATCATCCACCATAGTTTATAGGTCGCAATGTTGTGTGATCTTGGTATCTCTTACAAAAACTTTAGAGATTGGTTTGTACAGGGAAAGGAAATCATACATATAACTGTATACCAAGGACACCTGTTTTTATGTGTAAAAGCTTGGAATTTAAAAGGAGATGAATTTGTATTTTAAACGCGGAAACAAACAATAATGTTAGGGTTTACATTACTTACACAGTAAATTAGAATGTCTGATAAGATTACAGAAATATCCTTTTTACAGCGGTTCGTAAAAATAAACGAATAAATCATGCTGATCAGTAAATAAATATCATAGGGATTAACCTTCACGAGTACTTGATAGGGTTCGGAAGGTAATCTATTCACAATCCTCTTACTGATCAGGATCTAGATTTTCGTTTTCTTGATCTGAAATGATTAATAGAAGGGTGAACTGCACTAATCCAATAAGAATATCATGCTAATCACTGATACGAGAAACTAAAAATTGGTAAAAATCATAAAATAATTAATGTAACCATTAATTTGAGTAAATTCATTTAATATAAAGTAAACTATTTATTCCGTACTTACCGTTGCAAGTTTTCCAAAACGATCTATGAAGGTAATCAATTTGAATATCATTCTTATGACATATTTACATTAACAATAACAGTAAACTTATTTCATTCCCTGCTTACCAGTACCTCTAGGAGTCCATAGGGATATTCCCCTACTCGTGAACCCAATTTATAAATTTGTCAATTAATCCGTCCGTCTCCATATCTCGTCCAGTAATGGGCCCCAAATACACTATCGCTTCAATAACCCGTCCGGTATGAGAGTGAACCATATCTCCCAAACCCTTCCGGTATTGGACTTTTCAATCTCGTCCGACTGAGATAACGTGCACATTAAGGTTCTTTATTTATCGGGTTCGTCCACAATTTTCCAAGATACCCAGTAAGTCTTTCATATATAGATCCCCATCAACAAAACAACCACCAATTGCATACCAACATTTTATTTTATATTCACAGATCAATCAGACAACATTAAAGCAAACAGTACAATTTCATACCTAAACAATTAAGAACGTAATAGAGCCTTTATTTCAAATCAGTTAATCAGATAAAAATCACGATTTAAGCAATCATTAAATGAAAAAATAATTTAAAAGTAATAATTTAAATAAAACGGTTGAACAATAAGCAATTTAAGCACTATAGGAAAATAAACAGGAAACACAGACGAGATAGGGCAATCATACACTAAACAGTCTCCGGCTCCACTAATGACCTGTAATTATTTTTAGGATTCATCTAATTTTCACAAAACACAAAACTTTTTATTATTTAAGCCTCAATTTATCGTAATAGGGAATGAGGTGAGGAATTTTTATCTGAATTGATATTTCAAAACGTCGTACTATCTACTATTCCTCTCAATAAGTTTTGAGTTTCCTGAATTTTTTTTTTGTGAAAATCAAAATGTTTGTCACGTACCCAAAAATCCAAAATCGATGTTGAAAATTTTTTCAGCCAATTTTAGGGTTCTGGCACAGTCATGCTTCAGCGTCGACTCCGTTGCCCACAGCGGCGGTTTGCCTCGTTTGTGGCCGGTTTTTATTGATTTTGCTCGGTTTTACATGTATCCCTCTGAAAAAACACGTTAGAAAATCTCGGTTTGTAAGAAAAATAAAAAAATCGAAACCTACCAGTGGGGGTCTTCAGGCGCAGCGGTTTCGTCTGTTCTCCTTCGCGGCTGAGATTTTTCTTCGGCTAATTTGTACCAAAAAAAGACGATAAACACGATGGTCAAAGAATCGTGTAAAACGAGAAACGAGAAGGGGGTCTTCAAAGAGGGTTTAGGGTTTTGGCCGCGGCGGCTCCGTTAGAGTTTACCCACGGTTTCCGTCTTACTCGCCGTCCCTTTTGCTTTGATATAGATATAGGGAGACTCGGAATTGAATTTCGACTAGGGAGGAAAAATTTTTACCTTTTTTTGGCGGTCGGCTGTGGTTTTGGTGTGGCTGTAGCCGGGGGTCGGCCTGCTTTTCCGTCGTCTGGTTCTACTCTAGCGAATGCTGAAAGGCTAGGGTTAGGTTCTCCTGCGAAGAGGAATTTAAATGCTCCTCTCCTCTTCGATCCAGGCTGTCCGTTTGTGTTGACGTAGAGTGAGGAAAACCGTTTGATGATTTCCCATTGATGGCATGGATGAATCCGGACCGTCCGTCATGATCCATCTCGTCCATTCGATCGCGTTTAAAGAAGGAATGCATTTAGGCCGTTCACGTGCGCGAGATGAGGTCTAAACTGTTGGATTGCTAGGCACGCAGATCGCTCGTGTGGCTTTCTGCGTGGTGCCAATGTCAGTTTGTTTACCATGCGGCGTGCTCTGGTTCGCTTGGGTTATTGACTAGGCAGTCCCATATGGCCAAACTTTTTCTTTTTGTAATTTAACCTCTTGTTTTTAATTTTTTTTCAAAAACATCCCCCGGATTTAAAATTTATATAATTTTTAAAATAAAAAAGATTATTTCGGGCCGATTTTCGGGCCCGGATGTTACATTATCTCATTTCATATTAAGCATGGAAAACATTAACTTAACAAAGATACTGTTTTTACACTTTTCTTTTGGACAAAAGGAAATTCAAGGAAGGTCAATGCTTAAAATCAAAAGCATAATATGTCGTGTACAAGTAAAAAATAGGTATCCATTGGATGTTAGAGTTTGAACTGAGTATGAAAGTTGCTTTGCAATAAGGCAACACAATAAGGGATTACCTCAATGCTTTCTGTTTCTCTCTCTTTTTTTTTGCTATGTGCATTATTAAGTGCTTAAACTCCCATATTTTATTAAATTGAGTATGTGTTCAACATAACACTTTAAATAACAATATTAAATAGGTTACCACATGGCATATTAATGATACGTAAGCATGTTAAGTAAATCAAAGAATACATTTTTTTAGTACAGTTTTTTCTAATTGCAATGACTGTTAAACCAAAAGATATTTATTTATTTAACATGCTACCTTGCAGTAGTGGGCCACTTGGTAGACTATGTAGCATTTGTATGTCACGTGGTCCTATACCTAACACTGTAATTTAAAATGTTAGGCTGGACATTTATGCGGCCACCATCTAAAAGTTCAGACACTTGATTTCTCAAAATCAAAATTTAGAGTATCAGTTAAACAAACTTTGAAAGTTCAGACACTTGATTTCTCAAAATCAAAATTTAGAGTATCAGTTAAACAAACTTTGAAAGTTCAGACACCTAATAGCACATTTAGCTCTTTTTTTTCAATAGTGGGAATCGACTCTATGTTGAATTACTTTCTATCCATTTAATCAAAGCTGCTTGAAATCAACAGTGTACTGAATATCAGATTGACCAAATCTATTCATTATTGAAGTTTAGATTCTATGATGAAACTTTGCTGGTAGAAAGGTCAACACCATGAGAGATTCTCTATGATAAACTGCTTTAGTATCTACTTAATCTTGGAAGCAGGTTGAGCTTTGAGGAATTAAGAATCTAGGAAAACAAACTGAAATTGTCTATATTTAGTGTCTATAAAGGGCAAATAATTTAGTGTATTCTCATCATTTAGAGATGGGTTACTGTTGTTAGTGGGCCATTATAAAATCTGTATTTGAAAGAGCCCAAGGCTTCATCAACACTTAGGTCAAGGGGCATATTTCATCTGTCTTTAACCAAGTTTTTTTCTTTACTACTTTTAAGTTGAGAATATCATCCTGATTCCTGATCTTGCTGTGAGAAGAATATGTTAAAGAGTGTATTTTATATGTAATTAACTTAGGAGAATTAGGTTAAAAGCCATTTTAGTGAAATACACCTTATGTAATTAATTGTTGGTTTTTTTTTCATACACTACAAAGCTTATATGCATAGGATCTTGTTATTCAATAAAAAACAAGCTCAATTGTTCTCAAGATAATACCAGAGATATAGGAAAAGTATCTTAATTTTTTCCACAAACCTTAAACTGACCTTTATTTCTGGAACAAAAAGCAGAAAACCCTTAACCCGTATCCATCTTTCTTAGGTGGCCTTCGTACCAGTAAGATGCCCCTGCCATGACAGAAAAACAGCCCTGCTGCGCCACAAAGCTGCCTATTCCAGTGCGCCTTGTTTCAGCTGCAGCAACTCTGTTTTCGCCCCCTGTTTCAATCAGGAAGCAGCCGTGACTAGCTAGAATAGCATCCAACCATCCCTTTCTATTTTTACTCCTGCCAGCCGTGCCCTCTGTTTTTTGCTCTTCTCATCTGTGCACTCTGTTTTTTGCTCTGCTCAGATACATGTTGTTCCTCCCTGTTTTGCGTGCTCTGATTTGTACGCACAGCCCCTGTTTTGTTTGTTTCAGCCTTGTTTCACATGTTGTGCTTCGCACGCACAGCCCCTGGTCTTGCCTGTTTCTGCCAAGCTCAGCTCCAGCGGACACCTTCTGTTCAGCTGCAAGCAGAGACACTCCTGCGTCCCTTCTGCATGCAGTCTCCACAGTCGCGTCTGCCTTCAGCGCACAGCCAACTGCCATGCCTACTCCTCCACAGGCAGCTTGTCCAAACAAGAAAGTTATGTTCTGGCCTGGTAATCGCTAATCTTTTTCTATTTAATAGGTGGTCTCAATTGCCTAAAAATGTTAAATCATGTTAGAGGTTGCATTGCAATGTACCAGTCACTTGGCCTATTCAGGTATATTTTCCATCTCCCATATTTTAAATGCCTCAAATAATGCCTTAGCATTGTCATAGATTTTAAACTCAAGAACCACAAACCACATAACTAACTCCACTCAATTTTTGGAACATATTTCTCATACCCTAGCAATAGGAAGATTTTTTCTTTGATGGTTCACTAAGAATAGTAGCAGGAGTCAAAACCACAAAACTTAGCCCTCACTTTACACTTATTGATGTATCACATGTCAATAAATTGTGCACCAATATAATATCAGTAACTAAGTTGTTGCGAGACCTCAATTGCAAATTGACCTTTTCTTCTATTTGTGAATTTCAATATTAGAACTCAGGGAGGATGATTAAATGTGTTATGATTAAATGTGTTAAGATTCGGAATGGATTACACCTCATGAATATAAGACCTCCCTTTCGACTAGGATACTTGATAAGATATGACTTTACCACATAATGTTAGGTCAGCCCTCATTCTTCACCCTGAAAGTTATGTTTTCTTCTTTGTTTTTGGACCCTACTAACACAAATATACATTGTGATGTATGTGAATTGGCAAAATATAAAAGCATAAATTTTTTTCTCAATAATAAAAGAAACAATTTTTCTTTTAATTTGGTTCATAGTGATACTTGGAAACCCTCAAATACTCCTAGTATTTCTGAGGTCCGATAGTTTATTTTTTTATAGATGATTATACCAAAGTAACCTAATTTTTCTTGTTATAATCCAAGTATGAGATTAGTCACATTATTCTCAAATTTGACAACATGATCAAAACCCAATTTAAAGTGAAGGTCAAATGTTTTTGAACTGATAATGCTCATACAACATCCTTCTTTTTTCAAAATGATGGAATCGCTCATGAGCATTTCTGTATTTACACTTCAAGTAAAGTGAAGTGATAAAATAGAAAAACAGTCACCTATTTACTACTACCTATGCTCTTTTGTTTCATAACCATGTACTCAAAAACTAGTAGGGGACACCATTTTTACTACAACCTATTTTATCAACAAATTATTATCTTGGGTACTAGACTTTCAAAATCCTACGAAAGTTCTAGCTACCTTTTTTCCTGAAGTGTCTCACCACTAACCTTATTCTTTGACTATTCGGTTATGTTGCGTATGTTCACAGACGTCAATCTCAACAGGAAAACTTGACCCTAGGGCCATTAAATATGAATTTGAGGGGTACTCATCTACATAGAAAGAATACAATTGTTACCACTGTTCTGTTTTATGTATTTGTTGATGTTATTAGAAGATAACCAAAAGCCATTTTTATCTTCAGGAGGAGAGTATATTGGAAAATAAGGATGACTAATTCTTGTTTGATATTTCTCTACCCCTAAATACTCCACCCCTTTATATACCACTAGAAAACCAAAAGCCACCACAAGATACACCTGAACACATACCACCGTAAGATAAACATGAACACATATTATCAGGAACTAAGACTAAGAAAATGAACCAAAATCCTCAACCATACAGGACACACGATACTTGCAGTGTACTCAAGAAGAAAAAACTTGAATTCTGATTTAAAGCGAATTCATGGATCCAAGTGGGGTGCTGGAAACAAGTTAAGTTATGAGGATTCTTTACCTTCTAATATAAACTTACCTATTACACTCAGCAAAAAGACGAGAGGATGCACTAAGCATGCACTCTGCTCGATCTCAAAATTCGTATTATTTGAAAACTTTTCCATCTAATAAAAACTTCATGATGATTGTAAATATAGTATCAATTCCTAATACATTATCTAAGATTTTGACCAGTGAATAACAAAAAAATGTTATGAAAGTTGAAATGCAGGATGTGGAGAAGAATCAAACATGAAAAGTGGTGGACTTACCAAAAAAGAAACCTGTGATATGCAAGTGGGTATTCATAATAAGTGCAAGGTTGATGGAACGACAAAGAGATATAAAGCAAGACCGCTGGCCAAAGGTTATACCAAAACCTGTGGAATAAATTATCAAAAGACATCCGCACCAGTTGTTAAGATGAATACAGTGCATTTCTTGTTGTTTCTGGCTATAAAATTTTATTGGCAACTACATTAATTTGATCTAAAAAATTCTTTTCTGCATGGAGATCAACACAAAAGAAATTTATCTGGAATACCATCAAGATTTACTAGAGGGCATGATCAAATAAAGTATGTAAATTGGAGAATACACTCTACGGACTCAAGCAATCACCCAAAATATGGTTTTGCATATTTGCAAAGGTAATGAGAAGCTTGGGATATAATTTGGTCCAGGGAGACCACACCGTATTTATCAAGCCCTCAGAGTTAAGAGGAGTTACACCTCTCATAGTATATGTTGATGATATCATTGTAATAAGAGACGATAAAAAAGAAAAATTGATGTTCAAACAATGTCTTGCAAAAAAGTTCGAGATCAAAGGTTAGGAAACTTTAAATACTTCCTTGGAAATTAAGCCCCAGCTCAAAATTAGAAATTTTCATCTTTTAGCAAAAATACATTCATACCTAGTTTGTAAATCAGGTAGTACTTCTATCGATCCCAATCATAAATTGAGGCAAACATAAATATATTCATATTGATAAAGAGGTACATCAGAAATTGGTTAAAAGATTCATATACTTATCACACACAAGACAGAATATTGTCTATGCAATGAATGTTATAAGTCAATTCATATACAATTCTAAGAAAGTGCACTTACAAGCAGCCTATAGAGTGCTATATTACCTAAAAGAGAAACTTAACAAAAGATACCATGTCCAAAGAGAATGACATGATGCTTTTAGAAGCTTATATTTATGTAGATTATGTAGGGTCTATATTGGACACAAGATGTACCACAGATTGATGTACTTTCCTTGGAGATAACTTGGTTACTTGGAAGAGTAAGAAGTAGAATGCAATTTCAAAGTTTAGTGTAGAGTCAGAATTTCGAGTAATTGTTCAAAGGATATGTGAGTTATTATGGCTGAAGAGAATTTCAAAAGATCTGAAAAACAACTGAAATGGCACCATGCTCTTATACTTTAACAACAAATCAACTACAAATATCACTCACAATTCAGTACAACACAATAAAAATAAACATATTGAAGTTAACAGACACTTTATTAAAGAGAAGCTAATAGTGGTCTAGTATATACTCCATGCATATGTACCAACTCACAACTTGCAGATGTGTTGACTAAATATTTGAGCAATCTAGTATTCTAAATTATTCATTGGCAAGCTGGAAATAGACGATATCTACTTTTCGAGAGTCGAAGACTGTATTTTATATGTAGTTATTTTAGGAGCATTAAGCTAAAGAACGTCGTAGTAAAATACACCTTTATGTAATTTAATAATTTCTTTTCTTGCACTAAAAAACTTTTATGTATAGGGTCTTGTTATTTAATTAAAAAACAAGTTCAGTTCTCAACAGCATACACTAGATAATATGTAGCATTTATTTTTAAAGAGTTAATAATTGTTTAGCGTTAGCAAACTATTTTTGATCATTGAGCCCCCTACCAACTGTGTCTACCTATATCTTGAGCCATCCTGATTGGT